TTTTTTTTTGTTCCCATTTTTATTGTCCTTTTTTTTTTTTTTTTTTTCTTTTTTGTTTTTGAACCCATGCTTCCAGTCCTATTGCATTAATACTTCTTATCTCTTTTTATAGAAACTTGAGGAAGAAAAGGGCAAAAAGGAAAAGGAGAGGATAGAAATTGAGAAAGAGAGGCGAGAAAGAGAGCGAGAACGGGAACGAGAAAGGAGAGAGCGAGAAAGGGAGCGAGATAAAGAGCGCGAGCGTGAGAAGGAGAAAGAAAGAGAGAGAGAACGGGATCGTGATAGGAATAAAGACAGAGACCGAGAACGAGATCGTGATAGAGAACGAGATCGTGAGAAGGAGAGAGAACGACCAAGGGAACACAGTAAAGAAAGGAGCCGTTCAAGGTAGGAGCATTAAATATTGTGTATTATAGTGTTTGGCGATTCCTATTGGGAATTTTTATAGGGTGAAGATTTTTTGGTATTTGAAAAATAAGGCTTAAATGTACAGACTAAACGTGGTGAAATAAATGCTGTATTCTTACCCAGTTTAGTTAGTCTGTCTTTGGGAAAACAGATTTATCTGAGTTTTGCGTCATTTTTTTTTCTACTTTTGACAGGGAGAAAAGCAGAGAACGGGAAAGAGAAAGAGAACGTGAGCGGGAACGTGAAAGAGAGCGAGAACGAGATAGAGATAGAGATAAAGACAAGAAGCGAGACAGAGAAGAAGATGAGGAAGAAGCTTATGAACGGCGAAAACTGGAAAGAAAATTGCGAGAAAAGGAAGCTGCATATCAAGAGGTAATCCATATGCAGTAATCATAGGGTAGCAGAGGGGAGTCTGCATGATGGGCCTCATTTAATTGATGTATTTTTCACTTTGGGCTCCTGGTGTAGTAGTTTCTGGAGGCAAGAGGTGTAAATCCTAAACTTGTCATAAATGCTAAAGCAGCCTTATATTCTCTTTCTGTACCTGAACCCCTAACATTTTGCATAATCCCCAAAATGGGCTCTTGAGACTTGAAAAACCAGTAACGAACTATTGCAGGTATAAAGTGCAGGCATCTAGAGGTGCTTGCACGTGCCAACAGCTTCTTGGGTATTTTCTGATAGTACTGAAGCTTGTCAACTCATGCTCTTGTTCCTGCATATGCCCATTGGCCCGTGAGGTAGCCCATCCCATCATAGGGATGAGCCACTGGAAAATGTGCATGGTCTGGGCTTAACATCAAGTTCTAACACTACCCACAAGTGTCGGAGCTGTACTTGTCAGTACAGCAAGGGATTCAAATGTGACAAAATGATCACTAAACACTTATCCTAAAATGTAACACCCTAAATGTAATCCCCCCCCCCAATTAACACTGCAGCAGAACATTTACCCTACTCCAGGGACAGGCAACCTTGGCACTCCAGCTGTTTGTCCCATGAGGCTTTGCAGTATTCTAACAGCCACAGGCATGACTTGCAGAGGTTTGATGGGATTTGTAATATCGCCACTGCTGGAGTGTCAAAGTTGCCTACCCTTGCTTTAACCTGTTATTGGACCTGTGACACTGAAAACTAATACCACCAAGTTCCCAACACTGAAAGCAAAATATTCAGAATCTGATGGTTGTATGAAAACTGTTTATGCAGAATGAATGAATTAAACTTTTACTATAGAGACCACTTATTTTGCGTATTTTTGTATCAAGGCAACATCTTTGAAATGGCTGCATACATTTATATTTAATTCAAGGTTAGGTAGACAGAAAAAAAAAATGTACACCTAATAATGTAAAGATATATATAT